TTCTGTCTGTCCATCTACCTTTCTGTTTGTCTCTTTCAGATTATTGATGTCTGTTTGTCCATCTAAAAAACAAAAAAGAATCTCTTGACTAGTCCTTAAAATATGGTAAATTGGCTTCTGTGGAGCCAAAACAAGTGCGTCAATTTAGAACTCCAAAAGTATACAGGACTTCTCTTCTAAAATGTTCTTGTTTACTGTGAGCCTGAAGGGGTGTGAGTGTTTCTAGTTTCTATGTTCTTATCTGTGTTTATTTTGAAGCTTGATAGCTATTTTTCTATCCAGAAAGCTGTTGCAGAAATACAGAGCACTACTTGGCATTCCTTAGATATTAAAGCATTTTTACAAATGTCGTTTTTTTCCTGCTGTGCCCTGGACTTAAGCTTTACCGGCTGTGCCCCTCATCTTTGTGGGGCAGTGTCTCTCTTGCCTCCTGGAGACATTAAGAGAGTGCACTCTCTCCTGATGGAGCCTGCTGTCCCTCACTCATCAATTCCTTGGTGTCAAGTCTCTGGGGCTCCTCACTCTCCCATGATCCTCTCCATCTGTCTTGTCCTCTTACCTTTCCAGTCCTACTCCATCTTGGTTGACACCCATCTGGAGGCCTAGACATCAAGCCTTCCTGGATGAACTTTAATTCATGGAGTTTTTTCTTTTTCAAACCTCCACAGCAATTAGCCTGGGGCACAAAATTTAGCACTTAGTTATATATTGTCTTTTATTCATTGTGTTAGTTTGGTCTTTCCAGTGTGGCTGCAGACTTCTTGAAAAGCAACAAATCTTGTATTTTTTACTAACCTTTTGCCAGCTTTATTTTTTTTTTTCAGCGAGTAGGGAAAGAGGGAACACTTCCCAACTTGTTTTGTAAAGCAGTATAATCTTAATACCCAAACCTGACAAACATAATAAAAAAAAGGAAAACTACATGCTAGTCTCTGTCATAACATAGAGGAAAAAACCCCCACAACAAACACAATCAAAATACCAGCAAGTCAAATTCTGGTATATAGCAAAAGGATAATACATTACAACAAATATATCTTGCACTTTAAAATAATATCTTCAGAGTACTCCCCTAAGGACACAGGGTAATACTTCCTTTTCTACCAGTAAATGTTGGTTATCTCTCAGACGGATGAACAGGCACATGTGACTTTCTATCCAGCACTGTAATATCTGGTATTAGAAATATCTGCCACACTTACTAAATTGAGTTGATTGATGAACATCCAAACGTAATATCCAGTTGGGCGACCACACCATCTCTGCACCCATTTTTCCATCTGCAAGATGGAGATAAAAGTCTCTTTCCATTCTACCTCAGAGTTACTATGTGGCTTCAACCAGACTGCTCTGAAGAGCTTTGGCACTTTCCCTTGCCTCCATTGTATGAACCTCACATTTCTCTTCTTCTTCTTCTACCATTTCCTTCTTCCTCTTTTTCTATGGGGGATCGAACTTGGGTCCTTGTGCTTGCGAGGCAGGTGCTGGAACCACTGAGCTAAATCCCTGGGCCTCACCTTTCTTCTTGAATGAGTCTTAGGGGAAAGTAGAGTTTGGCATTTGTTGGGTACAGTGGTCACTTTCTAACCTCGGTTAGAATGGTGAGCCATTCTCAGGGAAACCTGAGTAGGGCTGGACAAGTAGGAAGAGAATAAACTTTCATTTGTTTCCTGTTTTCCTTCAGGTATTACAGCCATGAAAAATGCAAAGGTGGTGAGATTTTGAAGTGGGACATCTCTGGCGAAGTTAGTCTTTGCTGCCCCTAACTTATCTTTTCTATCCTCTTGTCCCCAAGCCTCTGGCTATCTTACTTCCCTCCTGGCAGGTCCAAAGCAAAACATGGAGTGAGGAAAGGTTGGTGAAGAGATGAGAAGTAGAGAGGAGGGGATCCTCTTCTATATTTTATTTCTTCAAAGTCCAAAAGGGAAGTATTACTCACTATCATTAAAGTTGACATGATTTTCCTTTCCATGTTTTCTGAAACAAGGGCTCACTATGTAGTTTAGGCTGACTTTGAACTCACTATGTAGCCTAGGCATGCCTCAAACTTGTGATTCTCCTGCCTCAGGCTCCCAAGTGCTGGGATTACAGGTGTGCATACCATGCTTGACTTTTCCCTTTATATGTATCTCCTTCCAAGGTTGGGGATTTAGCTCAGTGTTTCTGCCACCTGCCTTGCAAGCACAAGGTCCTGAGTTCGATCCCGGGTACCAA